GGAAAAGTTGGGAACCTCTTTTCTGCCTTTAGACCATCTGAAAATGGAAAAACTTCGAACTCATATAGCAGGAAAATGACTGAAAGTGGTCTTTCCTATAGCTTCGAACACCCGAACACCAGTCCAACTGGGCAAGAAGGAAGATTTCCATTGGTTGGCAGTTATTCTTATTGTATAACCTCTGATTTCAGCTTCGATAGGGGAATCTTAAAGGGGAGAGAACTTGGCTTTGGACTAAGGGAAAATGGCCATAGAAGAGAAATGTTCGATAAACCTTGATCCTGTCTTGAGTCTAGTCATTATATGGAACAAGTAGTTTGATTTTGAGAAGAAGCAACGCCATTATCTAGTCGGAATTGTGCGCATCATCTGCTTTCTATCTAGATTGATCCTCAACGCTTGCTCGGAACTATCATCATATATAATGATCTTCTCATCTTCTGTTTGGGAATCTACCTTTAATGCTACATAAGCGCTAACGAGCAATCAAAGGGATGCAAGCTAGGAAGAACCAAGCCACGCACGGCATTGCTATATCTGCTACGGTCATATGAGCGCCTGCTCGCCTCCCCTTCCTCCGCCGTCTTCAAATCCCTTCCGTCAGAGCTCAATTTCATAACTGCACTTAAAGGAGCTCACCTTCTAGAAGGACATCCGGAACTTACCTGTCAACTTCAACAAGCAAGGGGTCTATTCCACCACTAGCTGAAGTTGAATAAATTGATGGTAGAGTGATTCGGCAAACCGGGTACAGTACTTACCTGCTCGCGGTAATAAGTGCTTCGCAGGTCTTTTCCCTATATCTTCTTTCCTCGAAGGTTTTTCCAAGCACGAAAGCGTCCATTGAATGCATTTCTTATTCATAACGCTAGCGATCAAAACCAAGATGTAGAGCAAAAGAGCATCTATTTGATTCACAACAGGGTTCCCCTTCGTCCAATACTGGCTGCTCTTTCTCCTCACTATCCTCTTCCTATACGTGGAACACAAACAGAATTCGCTCTTTTGAACTGACACACATCTTCTCACTTCATTTCACCTATGATCAGTGTTCCGTCTTTTTGCTGTTTGAGTCAGCCAGTCAAAGAAGAAAGGCCTCACCAAACACTGAGTTTGGCTACCGGTTAGTTTAGTGAAAGAAAGCTCGACCACTGCACCGGTATAGCGAAGAAAGGAGCTTGACTTAAAGAGACATCAGCAACTTCAGGGAAGAGATGAGCAGAAGCTCTTGAAGGAAAAGTTCCCCAAGTTTGAAGGAGTGCAGTGCCTTTATCAGTTTCATAGCTATAGTCAAGATTCCTAATGCTCATTTCACTACTACTTAAGCTATTCTTTGAGTTAGGTCGGCTATAGCTGGCAAATCTAGCAAGACGATTTCTGCCTTACGACGACTAGAAAATGGAAAAAGTTTAAGAAACCCCGTGTTTTTGGCTTCCTCCCCGTTTTAGCTCGAGTGAGTGATCGAAAATCTAAAAAGTTCGATCTCATATAGCTGGAAAATGACTGACCCAGGTTTTCCCTCTGAGACGATGTCTATTTTCTCAAAAGTTTAGTCGCATATAGCAGGAAAATGAGTGAAAATGTTTGATTTTGCTTTCCCTCTCACTTGCGGATTCGATCCAGCCGGGTTTCCAGTTACCGGCTACCTTGGTGTGGACGTCGCCACCTATTGCTGGAACAAAAGGTACACCCATTGGCTTTGTCCGTATCCCGGGAGCTAGAAGACTAAAAAGTCAGTAGGTCGGGCCGAGCGGCTAATTTAGCGTCTCCTTTCTTCCATGCTCTTCACCCATAGCATGCAAGAAATTTGCTCGGGACGTGGTAGGGTTAACAAGACGCAACTACCAAAGATGGGAATTCTCTGTTTCACTCGTTCTCCAACGACTAGGGGTGGGGAGAAAGAGGCTTCATGAAGCTCGAGATTCAGTGGCTGCTTGATTGACTAAAGCCTATCGATCTCTGACGGACACTAAGGCCCACACCAGGGGGCTCGCCCGGCCGATGGTACGCCCATCGCCCCACTTCGCTCCAGTGTGGGGTCGCTGCTTCTGTTCCACCGCGATTTCCCGGCGGTCGGTTCCGTGGAGGATCCGCTCTCACATATTCAGGGCGATAAGCAGTAAGTCGCCAAATGTGACAGGCAAGAGAGGTTTGTCCCGCCCGGCATCAAAAGGGGATCGTGGATACAAAGTCACCCCCGATTAGCCGAGATTTTGTGAGGTTGGTGCGAGACCCAGAGTCGAACCAGGCAATCGAGACCAGTGCTTACACACCTAAATTCTCAAAAGTGGCAAAACTTCGAGCTATAACATGTTCTCCTTAAAATAGTGAAGAACAGGCCTAGTCTCATAAGTGAGATTTTTGCCAGCTAATGTATATAGCGCGGGGGCGGGGGTCGCGGGTGTGTTCCCCCCTACATCATCATCAACTGAGACAGCTGCTGCAGCTGTTGAAGTTCGAGCGAACAGTCGCTGCGACTGTGGAGCGTCGCCGAAAATTCAAATAAATGAGAGAATTGAACTCCTAAGAAACGGAAGGAACAGAGGCCGAAGAGGCAGACATCCGAAAGTTCATGCACTTCGAGAGCGAAGCGAACCTAGGAATGGGAGGGACCCGATAAGGCCCGGGCCGGAAAGAGCGAAGCGATACAGATCAGGAGATTGCAGCGAAGTCGAATCCAATGCCGAAGGACCTACTGGCTGGGGGAGAGAGCACAGAAAACAGCTCTCAAAACCAACGCCATACGCCCCCAGAAAGCAAGGGGAAGGAAGCTCGGCTCTCCTAGCTATGACCAGGGGGCGGAAGTATGTGAATGGGAGGAGCTCCAGAGAATCCCGCGGGGCTGTCACCGCAATGAAACTATAGATGCTGGGGGGAGGTTGCCATCCTAACAGCGGTCCCCCCAAACATGCGATCAAAAGAAAGAAAATTCATGTTCATTCAATCAATTGAAATTATGTACATGTTCGACTTGCATGTGTTAAGCATATAGCTAGCGTTCTCGCTCATATCAACATATGGATTTGACGTCAATTGAGAGCTTTCATCAGTAAGACTTCCATCACGCTATCCAAAGAAGCGTTTCTTCTCCTACGATCGACCTTGTTCTCAATCCAATCCACTCTTTCTTTCAGGCGTAAAGATCCAACTCATAAACACTGCAACAAGAAGTTTCGTTTCCTGTGCTATCACCTACCATAATGTGACTTCTTTGATTTTCCACTGACGTCTACATCCCCCTATGAAATAAGAAAGAAAGATTCCACATCTGCGAGACTGGGGTTCAAAAGGTGTGCCTCAAGGATACCGCTTTTGAGAAGATTTCGCAAACCAGACAATACAGCTCCAGACTGATCACTAGACCGGGGTTCCACGTTCGCAGATTGAGAGAAAGGGATTTCAAGAATGAAGTCAAGATGTAGTGAACTATTGAGACACCCATTTCGGGGGAGACTCTTTGTTATCTGCCCCCTATTTACGTTACGGCATTAGAGCCTGCCTCTTATAGAGACCCACCGCTTGCTGCTTTTGCTTTCAGTTCTTGGCTCTACCCTGGACTGGCAGGAAGAACATATTTGATTCATAAATGACATCTAAATGGAACTTTCCTTTGAATGAAGCCCATGAAACTCTCAGCTACCCCGATAGTTGAAGCGAGGGCATTAACTCGGATTGATGCTGGAAACGTGAAACTTTCATGATTGTCAAATTCCTACTGATGCTGCTCTGCGAGATCTCGGGCAGCTACCTTTGTCAGGTTTCACATCCCTTTATGCCTTTTCGTGGAGAGACAGAGTCAGGGCGCGAAAGATGGGTCGGTGTTTCGGGTCCTGCAGATTTGAAATAAACACTATAAACAAACCTCATCAAAGCCAGTGGATGGAATGGATCTTTTTGAATAGCGTAGCTTGGCAGGAAGAACATATTTGTTATATGGATTTGAATGACTAAACTGACTTGAACAGCTCTTTCTAGCTCATGTCTTCCTCTTCTCTGACAGCAGCAGAGGGGTTCTTTTACCACATTGACTTTCAAGGTCAGAATTGAGAAGCGGTTTGGAAACCCTTTCTTGAAAAGCTGACTCCCACCTTACGAGAGGCCTAAGACCGATCTCGACTAATGGGTCTTCTTTGAACCTTCAGTTGTGGGCGTATGCCTACATTACGGAGTTTGTCAACGCTGTCAACTTCGCAGTTGACACACCGCTCTTGGGACACTTGGATATGAAAGCTAACGCCAAACTGACATCGTTCGAAGGAGCCCTTAATGTTGAATTACATAGTGCCTGGTCGAGAACCAGCGAGGCCGGTTGCTCCTATGATGCTCACTCAATTGCCGCGGACCTGCCTGGCTCACTTGCAGCAAGCCGGGACACGTGTGCTCTGATGATGAAAGGGGGAATGCAAACAAGTATGTGTGGTCAAGCCTGTTGAAGTTGAATGAATTTCTTGTAGACTCAGAATTGCTACTTTCCAAAAGAAGATCAAGAGCGCGAGGAACTGAAAACTTCTATGACTGGTAGAGCGAAGGACAAAACAAAGCCATTTCCGCACCTATTCCCATTGCGCAAGCACCTATTTTAGGAAGATTTGAAAGTCAAGGTTTAGATGCACTTCGTACCATAACCGCTTTCCTAGCCATCAACTCCGCCACCAACTGCTAAATCCGCCCCGAAACGCACTCCGATCCGCGCCCAGAAGTGGAAGGCATTCTTTCGTAAAGAGTTCCCCAGTTGGTGTGTCAAGTCAATCTCTAGTGCGTAAGGCGAAGTGAAAGCTTAAGCTTACTAGCGTGTTGGAGTTGAAGTCGTTTCGCCGGTTACACCTTTCTGGAGGATCCATATAGCAAGTGTGCAGCTTTATAGATCGAAAACGGTCAATCGGACCAACAAGCTCGACGAACGGTCGACTGGACAGAGGAGACGTAGCACGAATGAGAGAAGCAAGCGAGATGACTACGAACAAGGTCAATATTCCAAGGCAAAGATTCAACAATCCCTTAACCAAAATCAAGGAACTATCCATACGTTGTTGAATAGAAATAAAGAATGCCAATCTTTGATAATTTTGTCATCATCCAAATTGTTCTCAAATGGGTCCATTCAACGATGTAAAATATCACAATGTGATAAAAGAATCAATTAAAAAAGATCCTCTAATTCGAATTAGGAATTTGTTGGGTCCTTTAGGAACAGCTCTTCCAATTTATAATTTTGATTCATTTTACCATTTAAATTTAATAACTCATAATCAACTCTTGGTAACTAACTATTTGCAACTTGACAATTTAAAACAGGCTTTTCAAGTACTTAAATATTATTTAATGGATGAAAATGGGAAAATTTATAATCCCGATCCCTGCAGTAATATCTTTTTGAATCCATTAAATTTGAATTGGTATTTTCTCCATCACAATTATTGTGAAGAGACATCTACAATAATTAGTCTTGGACAGTTTATTTGCGAAAATGTATGTATAGCCAAAAACGGACCACACCTAAAATCGGGTCAAGTTCTAATTGTTCAAATTGACTCTTTAGTAATACGATCAGCTAAGCCTTATTTGGCTACCCCAGGAGCAACTGTTCATGGCCATTATGGTGAAACCCTTTACGAAGGAGATACACTAGTTACATTTATATATGAAAAATCGAGATCTGGTGATATAACGCAGGGTCTTCCAAAAGTAGAACAGGTGTTAGAAGTACGTTCGATTGATTCAATATCGATGAATCTAGAAAAGAGGGTTGAGGGTTGGAACGAATGTATAACAAGAATTCTTGGAATTCCTTGGGGATTCTTGATTGGTGCTGAGCTAACTATAGCGCAAAGTCGTATCTCTTTGGTTAATAAGATCCAAAGGGTTTATCGATCCCAGGGGGTGCAGATCCATAATAGGCATATAGAAATTATTGTACGTCAAATAACATCAAAAGTCTTGGTTTCAGAAGATGGAATGTCTAATGTTTTTTCACCCGGAGAACTAATTGGATTGTTGCGAGCGGAACGTATGGGGCGTGCTTTGGAAGAAGCGATCTGTTACCGAGCCATCTTGTTGGGAATAACAAGAGCATCTCTGAATACTCAAAGTTTCATATCTGAAGCAAGTTTTCAAGAAACTGCTCGAGTTTTAGCAAAAGCCGCTCTACGGGGTCGTATCGATTGGTTGAAAGGCCTGAAAGAAAACGTTGTTCTGGGGGGGAGGATACCCGTAGGTACCGGATTCAAAGGATTAGCGCACCCCTCAAGGCAACATAACAACATTCCCTTGGAAACAAAAAAGAAGAGTCTATTCGAGGGGAAAATGAGAGATATTTTGTTCCACCACCGAAAATTATTTGATTCTTGCCTTTCAAAGAATTTCCATGATACATCAGAACAATCATTTATAGGATTTAATGATTCCTACTAAGAACGGACGCATTCTTTGAACCTTAACTATCTGTATTTGGTCCGGTCATTTGATTTGGTAATAGTAATAAAGCTAATAACGAATAGAAAAGAATAACGGCTTGGATCGTGTATCTACGGACAATCTACGGTAGAAGAGAAGGTTCCATCGGAACAATTATTTATTTCAGGATACCTCGTCTCTTTTTTTTGAAAAAAAAAGGAGGAAGTGTGAGGAAAAATGACAAGAAGATATTGGAACATCAATTTGGAAGAGATGATGGAGTCGGGAGTTCATTTTGGCCATGGTACTAGAAAATGGAATCCTAGAATGGCACCTTATATCTCTGCCAAGCGTAAAGGTATTCATATTACAAATCTTACTAGAACTGCTCGTTTTTTATCAGAAGCTTGTGATTTGGTTTTTGATGCAGCAAGTAAGGGAAAACAATTCTTAATTGTTGGTACCAAAACTAAAGCAGCTGATTCAGTAGCACGGGCTGCGCTAAAGGCTCGGTGTCATTATGTTAATAAAAAATGGCTCGGTGGTATGTTAACAAATTGGGCCACTACAGAAACGAGACTTCATAAGTTCAGGGACTTGAGAACGGAACAAAAAACGGGGAAACTCAACCGTCTTCCGAAAAGGGATGCCGCTATGTTGAAAAGACAATTATCTCACTTGCAAACGTATCTGGGCGGGATTAAATATATGACGGGGGTACCCGATATTGTAATCATTGTTGATCAGCACGAAGAATATACGGCGGCCCTTCGAGAATGTATCACTTTGGGAATTCCAACAATTTGTTTAATCGATACAAATTGTGACCCGGATCTCGCGGATATTTCGATTCCAGCTAACGACGATGCTATAGCTTCAATCCGATTAATTCTTAACAAATTAGTATTCGCAATTTGTGAGGGGCGTTCTAGCTATATAAGGAATTCTTGATTAATAATAAGATAAATAAATTACTTTGGAAACTCCATGGATTTAGGAAATTGGTTACTATTTATGAATCTAAAAAAAGAGATAAACATAACTGGGGATATTATGTGATTAATTGGTATTCAAAATATATGATTCAAGTAGACAAGTTGAGAAAGAGATGGTTGAATCAAAATAATTTCGTTTAAAGTTCGATTTCTGTCAGAGGGTAATATGAATGTTCTATCATGTTCTATCAACACACTAAAAGGTTTATACGATATATCCGGTGTGGAAGTAGGCCAACATTTCTATTGGAAAATAGGGGGTTTCCAAGTTCATGGCCAAGTACTTATTACTTCTTGG